AGGATATTGCTTGACAGTATTTATTGAGGGTGTCCAGCTGCTGGACACCATTCATTACCAGAGGAGAGGCAGTGTTGATGGCTGGTTACGGAAAGGTCCAGGAACTCTTAAAGCTCTTCTAAGGTCGTTGGTTGCTTGTCATTCCAGGAGATAGTGAAGTAATGGCTTTTCTGTGGTTGTTTGGCAGAAGATGCACTCTCTCTGTCGGGGTTCACCAATCTCCCAGTTGCATCTGTAACCGTAACCCGTTCTCGCACTTGCTTATAGTCAATATTGGCTTATTTAATAAGTGCATATGTGACATACTAATTGATTGTGAATATTTTAGTTTACCTTGAAAAGCTTCATAGAAAACACCGACCTCATCTGACCTTCTTAGTATGTTAAGATAAACATCTTATTGCTTCTTAATTACAATTATTACCCTAGACATAGTCTATATAACCGAACTGCCATTTCCCTGTGGATTCCTTTTGGGATATTTAACTGTTGTAACTTGGTGGCCTGAAGATACCATATTGCAGAAGGTGAACCCTCTGCTATTCTCTGGAGTAGGTAGGCTTTGTTGAGGTGTGAGTTTTTTGGTGATGGTGTTTTTATGTACTTTAGTCCGGGTTGAATTGTTTTGTGTATGACTGGATGACGAGTTGCCAATTTAGCAGTGCATCGGCTTTCTCATTTAATGGGATTCCAATATTGGTTAGGATCGATTTTAGAGTTATGTTTAGTGCTTTGCATTTAGCCTCTGCTCCTAGATACATAATGGTGGTAATTATTTCCACGTTGTCTTTCCACTGCTTTTTTCCTAATATTTAAAGTGCAGCTTTTCAGTCTGTGTGTATGATTGCATTTTGAGTGTTTTGTGTAATCACATATGCGAATGCCTGTTGTATGGCAAACAGCTCAGTTTGGATTGATGATACTAGTCCTCCCAGTCTCCAATATGCCTGTACGCTGGCCGTGCAAAGAGCAGCGCCAGCACTCTCATATTCTGTGTCCACCGATCCGTCTGTGAAGATGTGGGTGGCTCCTGCTACTGCAATGCAAACCAAAAAAAAAGCACATTTGCTTTTCTATGATGCGCCTTAGGATTGTTAGATCATAGGCAGCCTTTTTCATCGGAAGACTTTCTTATACTATTTTGAAGGTGGGCTCCTCCCACGGTGGGGAGCAAGTATAGTTTGGGTGTGGTTGATCACCTCCTTTATCATGAATCATACTTTTTAATTGCAGTCTGTTTAGGACTTCTCTCGCTCCGGCAGCCCAAGAATTTCTGTTGTTTTAGCCAAGTCCAACCTCCAAGGCCTGTCTTACTGGGGCTGGATCAGGGAAGCAGTTATCTTACTGATAATCGTAGCTGTTCTTTGAGATATTCTTTCTTGAAGAGAGGGCAAACCCGATTCCAGTCTGAGTTCCAAGCCTGGTTCACATAAGGGCTCCCAGGGCAGCTCTCATAGCATTGTTTTATGCTACTTCAAGCGTTTACACCTCTTGTTTTGATAGGCTTGTGAGTGCAGGTGCTGCATAGTCGATCTTTGATATGACTGTCTGTACATTATATGTGTGAAGGACTTGCAGATTGGCTCTTCCAGAGAGGAAGGTTTGCGACGTGAGGATTGCCGTCCGCGCCGTAGTTCTCTCTCTCAAGTAAGTGACCTCTGCATTAATATTTATCTGTGTACAGGATTATTCCTAAATACTGATACGTGTCCACCCATTCCATTGGTTGTCCCTGTACTTTGAGTTGGTTGGTGGGCTTCACTATTTTTATGGGCATGGCTTTTGTCTTTGTGGGGTTGAGTTTTATACCATTCTGGTTTGCCTCTTCACTGGTGCAGTCTAGGCATTTGGGTGCAAGGCGCGCTACATCCTTTTATTTTATGATGATTACAAAGTCGTCCTCATAGTTTCAGCCTGCAGTGCTGTGGGAACTTCAGCATCAATATTCTTTCCATTAAACAGTTGAAGAGAAGGGGGCTGAGAATACCTCCTTGCGGTTTACCATTTTCATGTCTTTTGTATTGAGAGACTGTGCCATGAAGTTTTGCTCTTGCTTCTCTGTTTAAAAGACAGTTTTGGTCCAGAACAGGTTTCCTTTGACCTCTTTGTCGATGAGGCAGCAGAGAATAGCTTGGGCGCTCGCCAGTTCAAAGACTTCCTCGAGGTCCAGGATTATCAGTATTCCTGGTCTGTCATTCAGGTGGGCTAACAGAGTTGTAATACATTCCACTGTGCCAACCCCTTTTCTATAGGCATGCATGTCTTGATGAAGTTTAGGCATTTTCCCCTCAAGTCTGTTGAGTGCCATTCTGTCAGCCGTCTTGGGTGCTCAGCTTTGGAGAGAGATCTGCATGGGATTAGCTGGATCTTTGGGTTTTGGGATTGGTACTATATCTGCTCTATTCCAAGCTGTAGGTCTAGTTTGAGAAGTCCAGGCTAAACTAATTAACCATGGGTATACAACGTCTCCCTCTGGGCCGAGGTTTCTAATCCTTTTATAAGTTATTTTGTCGTCTCCAAGGGATGTATTTTTGAGCAATTTGTATGAATTGAGCTCATCCAGTGTTAAAGGGGTATCAGTATCAGAGGCTTCTGCAGATGCTGTAAAGATTCTGTGCCACCTTTCTTCCTCTAAGCCTATCTGCACTGCTAGTACATCTGGTGGAAGCTGATTACTGGCTGCTCTTTCAGCAAATTTGGTTGCCAGTACTTCGGCTTCCTGTTGAGGATCCTTGGAGTGTGGAGCTTTTAGTGTTTTATTTCCTCTGGCCCGGTGAATTTGCTGCCATATCTCTCCAAGAGAGGTGTGTTCATTCAGATGTGAACACCATTCCAGCCACTTTTGTTCTTTGGTTATCTTTGTCCCTTGATATACATGTTCCTTGACATCACAGAGTAGGGTCCTGTTGCTGTCACCTGCTACATCACAGAGTAGGGTCCTGTTGCTGTCACCTGCTACATCACAGAGTAGGGTCCTGTTGCTGTCACCTGCTGTATTTTTATATAGCTTCCTTGTGCTGTTTTGTCTATGAGTGAGTTCTTTGACACGTTCGTAATAGTACCAGTGATCTTTGTCGTGTCTGGTGGACTGTTTTTTCTGTGGAATATAGTGGTTTGCTGCATTTTGAATTACTTTGACGAAATCTTGTTCTGCCTGATTAATGTGTTCGGGAAAACATACTTTCTATGCCACTCTGAGATTCCAGGTTTCTGGTGGAGGTGGGGTGGGTAGATCCAACTTAAGATCAATTTGGATCCCATAGTGGTCGCTTGTTAGTGTGCGCTGAACTGACTATTTTGCTGCATCTCTGAGGGAGACTGAAATGAAGGTAAGGTCTAATCTACCTCCTAGAATGTGGGTGGGTTCACCCTTGTTCAGGATATGAATTTCTAGTAGCTGGATGATTACAAAGTGTCTTGCTGCATGATAGGTAACCGAGGATGAGGTGAAGGTCATGAGGTGAATTGGATGCACTTATAGGTACATTGATTCATGTCAGTCTCCTGAAAGTAGCCTCAACCGAAGCTAAACTAGCTCGGCCATACAGATTCAGGCATGTTCCGCAACAAGTGAAGTTACATCTATACAGAATGCTTATTCGACCTCTCTTGGCATACTCATACACCCTTCTTGCTCTTACAAAACAGTCAAATCTGCTGAAACTTCAAAGGGCTCAAAATAGAGCACTCAGATTGACGCAGGAGTGACTCTCGCCGACAGAATTCAGACTGACAGTCTCCACACCCAATTAGAGATAGAACCGTTGAATAGACGCCTTCACAGCCTCTCAGCCAAGCAGCTATACAACATAAAAAGCACCTATTTACCAAATCGTGACGTTCCCTCTAGGGTATATAACACTACTAACTATCTAGTAGTAGCGTCATATACCCTAGTACTATAAGTACTAGGCGAATTTAGTACTCTAGACCAGTGAGCAGCGAATCTAGTACTCTAGACAAACGAGCAGCGAATTTAGTACTCTAGATACGTTAGTCCACTAGGCAGCTGACCATGCAGTTCTGAAAATAAAAATGCAACAAATTATTAAATGAGAAACGAATGAGAATTACGCTTTGAAAACACGGAAGCCCCGACTCAATTGAAAGAGTTGGAAGCCGAGGGTTGTTAAGGAGATACAATGGGGGCGGCACAGAGGCGGTCGACTGCAGGTACAAAACATCAACAAACAGTGATACGGCAGAAAAGAGTAAAGTTTTAAAGAAAATTACAGACAAGAATTACACTACATTTGTTCATTTGTTTACAGACAAGAATACAAGGGAACTCCCAAAAATCTGTAAATCTATAAGAAATAAGGTTAATATTAAATGTATAATAATAAAAACAAGTTTGCTGTAACAGAAGATATGGACAGAGAGAACAGGGGCAGCGTTGAACAGTAGTAGTGGAGACGAATGTGGAGACTATTCAAATTAGTCACGAATATTACAAATGCTTATTTCTCCTGGCCGGAGATGAAAAAAAAACTGTAATGAACTCGATAGGATGTGAAGGGGACGGGGGCTGGTCCTGGGGGGCGGGGGAGGTGAGGCAGACTCTAAACACAAGCTCACAGGTAGATATGGTAAAGTTCAGAAGGCTCACGGTCAGGTCTGGGGTAGATTGTGATAGAAGAGGCTTTAGACACACTCCTGAAGTGGTCTGAAAAATGGCTGCTGGAATTTAACCCAGCCAAAATGCATAGTTATGTGGATTTGAACAGGAGTGTGAAGACCTGTACAGCAGTATAAGAGGAAGGGAAGACAAGTTCTTCAATCAGAAAAGGAGAAAGAACTGGGAGTTAAATGAATTATCGAGGGGAGGCGCAAGCCAGTGCGACTTTATAGCACTTGGAAGGGGTCAGGAGAAGGATTTGGGATGGGACGGGGGAAAGGAATGGTTCCCAACCACTTATGGACGGTCGGGGATTGAACGACGATCTTCAGGAAGGGACTTGGGAGTTCAGATAATTCCAAATCTGTTGCCAGAAGCCCACATGAGCAGAATAACAACAGCTTCATATGGCATACTGGCCAGCATCTGTGTATCCTTCAGAAACCTGGACAAAGGGGCTCTCCGAACCCTATATTCAGCGAAGGTGAGACCCACTCTTGAATATGCATCCCCAGCATGGAACTCTTACCTGAAAAAAGGACAATTAGAAACTAGGAAAGGTCCAAAGAGATGCAACGTGTCTCATTCCGGAGCTGAGGGATTGAGCTATGAGGAAAGACAGAGAACTGGACTACACTGTATGAAAGATGAGATAGGGGAGACATGATAACAACATATAAAATTCCGAGGGAAACTGACAGCAGCTTTGTTCTAAGCTAGGAACAGCAGAACCAGGGGTCATAGATGGAAACTGGAGACGGAAATGAGTCATAGAGACATCAGGCAGACCTTTCCCAGTGATAGAGCTGCCAGTAAATGGAATAGGTTAGATGCAGAAGTAATTAAAGCAAATTTGATTCAAAAATTTAAAATGTAAACTTTTTAAAAGCGAGAGAAATGAGTCGTTGCATTAATCTAAGACCATTGGAAAGGCGGAGCGAGGAGCCTAGTTCGAGCACATCTAGGTGAGCACACACACACACACACACAGACACACACACACACACACACACACACACACACACACACACACACACACACACACACACACACACACACACACACACACACACAATTTCACGAAATTTATAATGCAATAAACTATTGTTAATTATATATCAATTTTTTTTAATGGAAAACAGAATGAATCAGAAAAATAAATCTACACCAAATACCTACTAACTAGGAATAAACATATGGATATATTTAAAGCTTTTTCACGTCGAAACAGATGAAAGAATGACGAATGTTTAGAGAACTCCCCGAATACAATGTTCTCGCAACGTTGGACAATAACGAATGCCAGTGTCATCCTGCCAATCACACGAAGCTACAACGTTGCTACAACCTTCGACCAAGTCTTAACACCTAACCAGTTCTAACAACCAATACAGCTAGTTGTAACAACGTCCTAATACGTCATAGAAACGTTATAACATGCTGTAACAATTTTATTACAAGTGGTAACAGAGAGAAAATAGTGACAGGGCTTAATATATCACTCTCAGGGAGTTATTAGCTTCTCAAGAAGAGAGTTTGGGAGTTCTTTAATATATTGTGTTCTAAACATTTGTACACTAAAGACACCTTCCCTGCAAGCACAAGGTAACGCTCCCTATTGTTACCTTGTTGAACTTGTTGCAGAGTTGTTACAACTTGTTATAAAGTTGTTACAATGTGTTACAGACTTGTACAAGTTACAGAGTTGTTACAACTTGTTAGTTGTAACAACTAGTGAGTTAGTGAGTTGTTAACAACCTGTTCGGTCGTTGTAGCAACGTCGTAGTTTGATCGCCGTTTTTAGCCGGATAGCCCATTTGACATTTGGGGCACCACACGTGCACTGTTGTAGTTCCTTCTCGTGTGGAGGCCAGCAGGTGTGGAGGCCAGCAGGTGTGGGGACAGGTGTGTGATCTCGATGGTGTTATTAATAACCAGAGAATTAACACTGCTATAATTACAGAGACACATGTTGCAAAACTGTGAGTTAATGGTGAATTGTGAGATAATAGTGAATTGTGAGATAATGGGGAATTGTGAGGTAATAGGGAATTGTGAGATAATGGGGAATTGTGAGGTAATGGTGAATTGTGAGATAATGGGGAATTGTGAGATAATGGGGAATTGTGAGATAATGGTGAATTGTGAGATAATGGGGAATTGTGAGATAATGGTGAATTGTGAGATAATGAGGAATTGTGAGATAATGATGAATTGTGAGGTAATAGGGATTTGTGAGATAATGGGGAATTGTGAGATAATGGGGAATTGTGAGGTAATGGGGAATTGTGAGGTAATGGGGAATTGTGAGATAATGATGAATTGTGAGATAATGGGGAATTGTGAGATAATGGGGAATTGTGAGATAATGGTGAATTGTGAGATAATGGTGAATTGTGAGATAATGGGGAATTGTGAGATAATGGTGAATTGTGAGATAATGATGAATTGTGAGATAATAGGGAATTATGAGGTAAGCTTAATGCAGAGGTACTGATAGTACTGATAATATGGAAACAATTGTGTTCCAATAATGAGAGCTGGAGTCACGGACAAGCAACCCAGACCTCGAAGGTGTTCAAATGTGATGACGTCGATGACAGAAATAAAAACAATAATGACAATACTATTGAGATCAATAATTTCTAAGAATGACATGTATTGGAATACAGAAATTGTTGACCTTCTCTAATGGGATAATTGTACTCATTTGTACTCATGTTAACATGCATTTTCAACTTGTATTTTGCTTCGCTTTGTCAAGTTCATGTTCTGCGGACCTCTTGTTACATTGTTTAATGTTGCTAAATAATATTACAATTCTTGATAAATAATGATACAACTTTTGATAAATAATAATAAACGTAGAAGTATTAGACTGAGGTTCATCATTAATGATATTTTAAAACGTGTCATCAATATATGATGACTATGATATAAGTGTTAACACTTGACACAGTATGTGTCTCGCTTGACACAGTATGTGTCTCGCTTGACACAGTATGAGTCTCGCTTGACACAGTATGTGTCTCGCTTGACACAGTATGAGTCTCGCTTGACACAGTATGTGTCTCGCTTGACACAGTATGTGTCTCGCTTGACATTGTATGAGTCGCTTGACACAGTATGTGTCTCGCTTGACACAGTGTGAGTCTCGCTTGACACAGTGTGAGTCTCGCTTGACACAGTATGAGTCTCGCTTGACACAGTGTGAGTCTTGCTTGACACAGTGTGAGTCTCGCTTGACACAGTGTGAGTCTTGCTTGACACAGTGTGAGTCTCGCTTGACACAGTGTGAGTCTCGCTTGACACAGTGTGAGTCTCGCTTGACACAGTATGAGTCTCGCTTGACACAGTATGAGTCTCGCTTGACACAGTGTGAGTCTCGCTTGACACAGTGTGAGTCTCGCTTGACACAGTGTGAGTCTCGCTTGACACAGTGTGAGTCTCGCTTGACACAGTATGAGTCTCGCTTGACACAGTGTGAGTCTTGCTTGACACAGTGTGAGTCTCGCTTGACACAGTATGTGTCTCGCTTGACACAGTATGAGTCTCGCTTGACACAGTATGAGTCTCGCTTGACACAGTATGTGTCTCGCTTGACACAGTATGTGTCTCGCTTGACACAGTATGAGTCTCGCTTGACACAGTATGAGTCTCGCTTGACACAGTATGAGTCTCGCTTGACACAGTATGAGTCTCGCTTGACACAGTATGAGTCTCTCACCGTGAACGCCACACTGACAAGTAATTTACAGACCAGAATATTTTCTCGCCTTAATTACGCAACAGAAAATTAGACCTTTCAGTGGGGCCTAATTGCCCTTAATTGGATGAGGTGTTCTGTGCCGTTCTTGATGGTGGCCTCGTGTTCACTTTGTTCATGTTTTGAGAGTAACATTTAATGGTACAGGGTAATTTGTTTAATGTTCTCTCCCACATCTCTCTCTCCCTCCAATAATTCAATCATTTCTACTATTATATAAACTACTATTACTTCTACTATTCCTACTATTACAGCGCTGACTGGATAAAACAACGGGATTATACAACGGGATTTCTACTGAAATCACAGAAAATTTTGGTAACTTTTACTACTATTAAAAAGTAGACTGACTCCAGAAGCCAGTATAAGTCTTACCGACCATCCCCAAGCACTCGGGTGACGGCCAAAGCGGTTCTACTCCATACTTGTGATACAGAGGATCATAATGCTCCAGTGACCTGAGGGGAGGGGGGGGGGGTGTTGTGTATCTGTGTATGGTCTCGCAGTAATGACACTAACTGGATCTATCAATGAGAAAATCCGGTAGGAAGCCGTGATGAGGGTTCGAACCCATGCGGTGGGTCTTCCCAGGCACACGCCCCAGATAACCAGGCCCCGACGTGGTCAAAAGGATTCCAACCTGGAGTTCAAGAGAACTTCAGGTTGTCATGTGGGTGTGTGTGTGTGTGGGGGGGGGGGTGTGTAGGTGTGTGGGTGTGTGTGTGTGTGGGTGGGGGGGGGTGTGTGTAGGGGTGTTTGTGTGTGTGTGTGTGTGTGTGTGTGTGTGTGTGTGTGTGTGTGTGTGTGTGTGTGTGTGTGTGTGTGTGGGGTGTGTGTGTGTGTGTGTGTGTGTGTGTGTGTGTGTGTGTGTGTGTGTGTGTGTGTGGGTGTGTGTACTCACCTAATTGTGCTTGCGGGGGTTGAGCTCTGGCTCTTTGGTCCCGCCTCTCAACCGTCAATCAACTGGTGTACAGATTCCTGAGCCTATTGGGCTCTATCATATCTACATTTGAAACTGTGTATGGAGTCAGCCTCCACCACATCACTTCCTAATGCATTCCATTTACTAACTACTCTGACACTGAAAAAGTTCTTTCTAACGTCTCTGTGGCTCATTTGGGTACTCAGCTTCCACCTGTGTCCCCTTTTTCGCGTCCCACCAGTGTTGAATAGTTCATCCTTGTTTACCCGGTCGATTCCCCTGAGGATTTTGTAGGTTGTGATCATGTCCCCCCTTACTCTTCTGTCTTCCAGTGTCGTAAGGTGCATTTCCCGCAGCCTTTCCTCATAACTCATGCCTCTTAGTTCTGGGACTAGTCTAGTAGCATACCTTTGGACTTTTTCCAGCTTCGTCTTGTGCTTGACAAGGTACGGGCTCCATGCTGGGGCCGCATACTCCAGGATTGGTCTTACATATGTGGTGTACAAGATTCTGAATGATTCCTTACACAGGTTCCTGAACGCCGTTCTGATGTTAGCCAGCCTCGCATATGCCGCAGACGTTATTCTCTTTATGTGGGCTTCAGGAGACAGGTTTGGTGTGATATCAACTCCTAGATCTTTCTCTCTGTCTGTTTCATTAAGTACTTCATCTCCTATTCTGTATCCTGTGCCTGGCCTCCTGTTTCCACTGCCTAGTTTCATTACTTTGCATTTACTCGGGTTGAACTTCAACAGCCATTTGTTGGACCATTCACTCAGTCTATCCAGGTCATCTTGTAGCCTCCTACTATCATCCTCTGTTTCAATCCTCCTCATAATTTTTGCATCGTCGGCAAACATTGAGAGGAACGAATCTCCCTCTGGGAGATCATTTACATATACCAGAAACAGTATAGGTCCAAGGACTGACCCCTGCGGGACTCCACTTGTGACGTCTCGCCAATCTTAGACCTCACCCCTCACACAGACTCGTTGTCTCCTGTTGCTTAGGTACTCCTCTATCCACCGGAGTACCTTCCCTCTCACTCCAGCCTGCATCTCCAACTTTCGCACTAGCCTCTTGTGTGGCACTGTGTGGTGTGTGTGTGGTGTGGTGTGTGTGTGGATGGGGGGGGGTGAATAGTATTGGCTTCCACAACCTGTTCCCCAAGGGTGTGTTTGTGGGTGTGTGTGTGTGGGGGGGGGGTGTGTAGGGGTGTTCTGTGTTTCTTTATGGTGTGTGTGTGTGTGGAGGGGGGGTGTGTGTAGGGGTGTTTGTGGGGTGTGTGTGTGTGTGGGGGGAGGTGTGTGTGGGGGGGGGTGTGTGTGTGGATGTGTGGGGGGGGTGTGGATGTGTGGGGGGGAGGGGGGCGGGGATCGTGGTCGTCGTCTTCTGAAAATCAATGTGAAGTCGCGGGGGGGGGGGGGGGGTTGGATGCTCCTCTCTTGCCCCGGGTCAGTTTTCGTGTTTCTTACCTTCCTTCTTGGCTTGTCTTCGTCTGTCTCTTGTTATGCTTCCTGTCCCATTCCTGTCCCATTTCTGTCCCATTCCTGTCCCATTATCCTCTTGTACTGTTTCCTTTGTTTCTTTCACCCTTTCCTATTGTTGGTCCTCATTATTCATGGGCATTTTCTTATCATAATTTTTACTTGCTCTTTCATTAGCATTATTTCCTGTCATTCTTATATTTTTGTAATATCATCCTCGTCATCCTATCTCCTTGTTCCTATCTTCCTTCTTAGTGTTCCATTGAGCATCTTCTTTATTTTTCCTGATTTCTTTCTACACGTCGCCGCCTTCTTGTCTCCCTTCTTATCGTCCTGTCCTCTTCCCCCCCCCCCTCGTGTCGTTCTCATTCTTCTAAGTCTTTATAATGTCGCTAGTCTTCAGTTATCTCCGCTTTCGTCTCTGGAAAAATTCACGTTCACAAAAAGTTAAAAATAAGAAGGATCAAGTCACTTTGTTCATGTTCACCAGGCGCTCATGTGAACTACCCCCCCCCCCCCCCTCCCTCTTACACTGAGGCAACACTGTTTATGTCACTTTCTAAGGGGACTAAGGGGACACATCACTTTCACATCATGTGAAGATTCACATCACTTTCACATCATGTGAAGATTCACATCACTTTCACATCATGTGAAGATTCACATCACTTTCACATCATGTGAAGATTCACATCACTTTCTAAGGGGACTAAGGGGACACATCACTTTCACATCATGTGAAGATTCACATCACTTTCTAAGGGGACTAAGGGGACACATCACTTTCACATCATGTGAAGATTCACATCACTTTCTAAGGGGACTAAGGGGACACATCACTTTCACATCATGTGAAGATTCACATCACTTTCTAAGGGGACTAAGGGGACACATCACTTTCCCATCATGTGAAGATTCACATCACCTACTAAGGGGATACATCACTTTCACATCATGTGAAGATTCACATCACTCCCCTCACATCCACTGAGACAACACTGATTACATTACTCACTCGTACACCTTCACGTTGTGGAGTGATCATTAACAACAACAAAGACACTATCAGTCACCTGCAGTGGTGGCACCTTCGCCGACACAACAATTGTTCTTGTAGCCTTCTTAAGGAATCATCCGGACTCATATTTATATCTGGAGGGAGGGAGGGAGGTATCACCTGTCTAAGGTTACTCCAGGCTGAGTTACACACCTGCTGACACTCACTCACTGAGTTTCACGTGACTTTATCTTCCCTCCACAAGTTACTCAGGTGTCGTCTTAACCTTTCCCCAAGTTACTCAGGTGTCGTCTCCACCTTGTCCTCTAGTCTCTCCTCAGTATTAAGCAGGCAGGTCAAGGTTATCATCTCTCTTGTGATAATCTCTCAAGGGACAGGAGGAAAGAAATCTTCAAAGTCAACAAGCATTTGATACAAAGTAATACAGTAAGTGAAAATGATGCCTCAGGTGAGGTCCTCGACTCACTTTCTAATTCCAGACTAAAGCCTCACCCTCATTACACGCTACACGTAACCTGGATTGTCTTTGCTCTCTCTCTCTCCCTCTCCCTCTCTCCCTCCTCTCTCTCCCTCTCCCTCTCCCTCTCCCTCCCCCCCTCCCTCCCTCCCTCCCTCCCTCCCTCCCTCCCCCCCCCCCCCCCCCCCCCCCCCCCCCCCCTCTCCCCCTCTCCCCCTCTCTCTCTCTCTCTCTCTCTCTCTCTCTCTCTCTCTCTCTCTCTCTCTCTCTCTCTCTCTCTCTCTCTCTCTCTCTCTCTCTCTCTCTCTCTCTCTCTCTCTCTCATTTCGGGCAGGTCCTTAATCGTAATTTTCCCCGGAATACGACCCACCATATCAGTTAACAACCAGGTACCCATTCACTGCTGGTGTACAGAGGCTACAGTTAAGGATTGGCACCTGGCTAATCCTCCCCGGCCAGGATTCGAACCCAGGCCAAAACGCTCACGAAACGCCAGGTCAGTGAGTTACCACTTCCACGGAGGGGGGGGGGGGGGGGGGGGGGGGGTTAGATATAGTATCAGAACTCTAATGTCTTCGCTAAAGTGTTCTATTCGTCGGTTATAAACAAACCAACAAATGCAACAATTTTATAATACAACAAATACAATTTGTTAATTTTCACAAAACTGTAGTTAACACTTTTATTAACAAATATAATCACCCCCCCCTTAATAAGTCCAGTCTTGGGTGTGGGAAATCGACCCCCGTGATTAATGTATTTAATTTTGTATTAATTGTTGATGGACTGTATTTAATTTTGTATTAATTGTTGATGGACTGTATTTAACTTTGTATTAATTGTTGATGGACTGTATTTAACTTTGTATTAATTGTTGATGGACTGTATTTAACTTTGTATTAATTGTTGATGGACTGTATTTAATTTTGTATTAATTGTTGATGGACTGTATTTAATTCTGTATTAATTGTTGATGGACTGTATTTAACTTTGTATTAATTGTTGATGGACTGTATTTAATTTTGTATTAATTGTTGATGGACTGTATTTAACTTTGTATTAATTGTTGATGGACTGTATTTAACTTTGTATTAATTGTTGATGGACTGTATTTAATTTTGTATTAATTGTTGATGGACTGTATTTAATT